AAAAAAAAAAAAAAAAAAACACATCTTAGTAAAACCAATACCTTCTCAGCTTCGCATCGAAGCTAAAAGTATGACATAGTTAATAATTCAAGAATAATGTGTAATTAAAGATAATAATAAAAAAAAAAAAAATTTTTAATTATTATTCTGTAAGTAATTGAGTGGGCCATGATAAAAAAATCACTCTGTATAAGTTTCTTACAATATATCAATATAAAGAAAACCATTTTTGAAATCTCCAGAAAATTCTATATTTAAGGATATCAATTTCAAACTTGCAAGTTGAACTAAAAAGGTTAAAAGTTCAACATTTTTTAATTATAAATTAATAATAGCAAAAAATCAATTCTTCAATATAGACTCATAAATATAACTCACCTAATCACCATTTAGGTCATTTAATACCAACAATCAAGAATTTTTCTTGGTTCTATTAATATTAACATCAAAACCACTTTATACAATAGCTAATAATTTTATATATTTTTATAAATTAATAATAATATAAATACAAAAATATTCTGTAATATTTAACTAGTAAGTAAAATATTTAAAATAAACAATACTTAGGAAGAAATTTGTGAACTTCAATAAATACCAATCAAAATATTTTTTAATGTAAGTATTTAAAAATTGTAATTTTATGAAAACTAGAAAGATTAACCATATTGTAGCTAGGCATAAGTAAATTACTTAAAATTTTTCAGTGAGATCTTGCAATTTCTGAAAAATATTGTAATAAATCTTCTATAGAAAATTCAAGAGATATCATAGACCCTGGATAACATCTTTGTATTAAGTCTTCTATGTATTTATATTGCCGAATAAACTCTTCTTGCATAGCTCTCCATACGACCTATAATTAATATTTAACTGAATCAAATTTAATTGTTTGATTGAAACATACGAGTATCTATACCTGAAGTAAATTTTCTTCTTCACTTAAATGTTTTTCTACTTTTTTATAAAGATGATCTAAACCTTTTTTTACTTCACGTCCATGATATTCTTTTGTCATTTTTCTAAGTTCTTGTTTACTAAAAGCTACTTGATAACCAATTTCAGATTCTTTAATTCCTTGAGCAACTTTAGCTTGAACTCCTTCGAAAAATAACTAAACACCAAGAGTAACTTTAAAATATATATGAATTAAAATTAATTTCTTATTTCGTTCACTAATAAAACTCATTCTTAATTAAGTATGAAATATCTACATTTTAAACAATTATAAGGATATCTTCTTATTTAGGAGCACTAAGTAAAATTACATTGTTTATTTTTGAATGTCAAATATAATAAAAAAAACATTTTTAATTTTTAGTGTTGGAATTATAATTCTCACATTAAGTTTTTCAAGAGGCCGACCAAAGTACCGAGTCACATAAGCACTTAACGCTTCACTATATTTTTGCCTAGCATCTTTTCTATACTGATCTAATGTATGTATCTTTAATTGAGACAATAAAGCATACAAGTGATGGAAATTTTCTAGAAAAATAATTAAATGATAGTAATAGATAATTAATGATAAAATAGGTAGTTATTTTAGACAATTGCTTGAATTATTATTACCCATTCTAATGACTTCAGCTGGGGTTTTTGGATGTTCATTTGAAACTAAAATAATAGTATCAAACATTGCACTTATTAATTTCACATACCACTTGTCTAAATCAGTACGTCTATCTGTTTCTTTAAATATTTGTTCAGCAGTTTTAGCAAAATACTACAAAAGGTTCTTATCTTACTAACTTAAAATAATCATTAATACATACATCATTATTTAAAAAATACCTCAAAGTTAGCCACAAATGGAAGTATGCCACATTTGGACTTTTTAGCTATTCTAATATCTTGTATAGATTTTAAATGTGCATTCATAAGTTTATCATAATTCCTTTTGACATGCACCAATGCAGATCCATAAGTCATACTCAAAAAAGATCCTGTATCATTGGCAGACATAACATGCCGTCCTAATCTAACTAATACAGCCATAGAATAGCTAAATAAAATATAAATAATAATTACATTACCTAAAATACCTAAAGAAGAACAAAATAAAATCAAAAGACTATTACGTGCTATCCATTCTCTCATGGTATTGTATAAAGGAAATTAGTTCTGGTTCTATGCTTGCAAAAATTTCACTCATCATTTTTCTCACCTCTTCATTCATTTTTTTTTCTATTCTAGTTTTAGGTATAGACAATTCAATATTTGACTTGATATCAGTTCCATCCAATGTCGTTTGAGTATTCTACATATTTGTTAAAAAAAAATTGAAGTTGCTGCTTACTTACAGTTAAAAATTTTTAGTCATTAATATTATTTATGTTTTACACCCTCTCAAGTAAGCTATGTTTGTATTAGAGAAGATATAAACACCTACATAGTCAAGTACAACAGAATATAACTCCAGTACTTACACACCAATGCATTACGCATGTACATTTGACTTAAGTAGACTGCTTACTAATATATATGATAGTTAACTATTAACTTATTTTTACTTTAGAAGTTGAACTGGGAACATCTAGTTGAAAAAAAGACACACAAAAATTTTGTTCAGATAAGCATATTGGTTCTAGTTCTGAAAGAACTGCTTCTAAAACTTGATCGAACCTTTGACGTTCTTGAGTATCACTTTCCTGTGCCCAAAGTTCTTTATCAATGCCTAATAACCAATCAGATGGAGGACCAGTTGATCTTCGAATGTCTTCTTTAGAATTAGATAAATTTCCTAAGATAAAAACTGTTATTATAAAGATAAAAAATTTTATAATAATTAAAACTGTTACCAGCATTAACTCGTAACTTTGCATCATCTAAAAATGATTTTATATCCCTCTCATACAGTTTTGACAGTGAAGTAGTATAGACCTTTGATAATGCAAGAAATGCTTTACGATCCATTGCTTTGCACCAATGCATGAGTTCTGTATAGGCAGCAAGTTCACAGTGTAATGAAGTATGTTTCATTATAGTCAAATCTCCATTAGAATTTTTCTTTGTTTCTCCAATATCATTGCCCTAAATTCAATGAAATTAAAAGCAAACATTTATAATGACTAAAAATAAATGATTTAAAAAAAAATTAATTTAATTTTTACAGAATATATAGATTATATTCACAATTAACTTATTTAAATAAAAAATAATTTTTATAATAAGTATAAGTACCATATGAATAAATAAATTATTAAGATGTCGAGAAAGAATCTGTGAAAATTTTGCTTTCCATTTATCAAAGCGTTTTCTTTGTTCTTGTATAGCTTTTAAACGAACTAGAGCTGGATGTATTTGTGCATTCATAACTGCTTGTAATTCTTTAGCAGCTGCAATAGCATCTCTTAAACCACTTGATGAAGTTAAATCTGCATCAGTTAAAGCTAATTGATGTTTAGGTGATAATTCTAATTGATACTAAATAAAACAGTGCTTCATTATTAATTTTTAATGTGATTAAGTTTTTAATGTGAATTATATCACAAAACACATACAATTACTTGTTGAAGTTCATTAAGAAGCTTTTCATTGTTTTTATTAGCAGTCTGAATATTTGCATTTTTCTGATCCATTTTATCGATAGTATCTCTCACATGCCTTAATGTCTCATCATAAGAATCTAAAGCAGATTCAACAATTTCAATTTCCTGAATTGCTGTTTCAAGTTGATCCATTAGCTTAGTTACTTGTGGTTCAGAAGCGAGTACACTTTGAATATTTTCCTGCATATTGTAAAATATAAAAAAATAAATTTAATGTTTTTCTTTATTAGATTAATTGTCTACTACAGAACCAGTTTTTGATTCATACATTATTTACTTTAAATCAGGATTGGAAAAACACGGCCTCAATAACAATTATTTTATATGACATAAATAATAATTTTTTATATCTACAGATACAGAATAATAATGATAATTAAAATAAGATATTGTTTCATTAACAAATATTATGATAAAACCAATAGCTTCTAAGATTGCATCAAAGATAAAATATTTTATTTTTAAATGTTTATTTCAATAAAAAATAGTTCAGCATAATTTTTTTTATTTTGAATGAAAACAATGTTTTTCAAAACCACTTTTTTATACCTAAAGAAAACTTACAAAAAACAGCAAAGGGTTTTTGGATAATTGTATAAATATTGCCCATAACAATTTGCCAGATTTTTTTTTTTGACTTTTTTGTCAGCCGTACTTTAAATTAAATTAAATAAAAGTTTCAGATTTTTACATCAAATATTTGTTTTATATCAACTGTTTTTTATTCAAATTTTAGTAACAGAAGTTTCTAAATAAATTTAAAAAAAATATTATATTTTAAATTTTAATAAAATCTATTACTTACAAAATTGTTGTGTATAAAAGTCATATATATTATAATAATAAAATTAATAAAGAAAATTTATTCTGGGAAGATTTTTAAGCTAAAAAAGTTAAGCTTGTGTGAATTTCTAATGTTGATAATCATATATAGTGTTCAGTGAGGAAAATTGTTTCTATTGTTCACATTGTTTGTAATAATTATACTATTTCTTTAGTTTTTGAACATTGCATAAAAACTTTTGGTTTATTTGTATAGATAAAATATAGCAAAGAAATTGAAAACAAAAGTAATTCTTTAATTTAATAAAAAACTTATAATGTCAGTTTAAAATTTAAAAATAATAAAAATAACTTTTCCAATAGTTAATGAGAAAAAAATTATTTTTAAATTGATAACAGAGTAATAAGTTCTTAAAAAGTAATTTAAGGTGTAATGGTAAATAAAAATGGACTTACACCGTCCAATGCCATTAATTGGTTGGCCAACATATCTGTAAATGCCTTAGCATCTTTTGAAGCAAATCCACATTCTTTCATCAATAGTTCTAAGTCTTGCTCTTCTTTTTCAGATAAAGGTTGAAAATCTTCAGCACTTATAATAGGTGATGTAGCTATTTTTTCATATAATATTTAACAAAATTGATTCACAATTAAAAATATTTAAAATATACTTTTCAAAAAATGTTTTTTTAGATAGATAACATAGTTCATATAAAATATTTTAAATCATATTTTCAAATAAAATTAATTTGTCAGATTTTGTATAATAATCAGAAGCATTTATTAAGAGGCCTACCTCATAATAATGAGAACATGTATTCTGAGTGTTAAAATTGTTGGAGGTGTTTTTAGCATATATAAAGGTTTTTATTGTTCCAATTGTTTAAAGGAATTTACCAGTTTCCTTGCTCTTAAAATACACTTTATATAAATGCATTATTGAAAAATTCAAGATCAATGGAGAATGTTATTTCCTTACCTAAGGCATAAAATTATTTAATATATACATATTCTAGTTGTCTACTACTTCTTGATCTACAAACAAAACGGGCATTTTTATTGTCTACCATAATATGTAATCTAAATCAATAAGATTACTTTGGAATTTTGACTATTTATGTCTAATAACTAACAAAATCAAAAATCCAATGCAGTTGGGATATTCCATAGCGAGGACAATAACTGGCCCCTCTATGCTGGGTCTATAATCTAAATTATTATTTAAATATATTAAGATAACTGTAATTAAAATTTTAATTAGTGTTGGGAAATGTTCTTTCAAATGAATATTGAATACTATAAAAAAATTTCAATCTTAATAAATAAGTTTGAAACATAAAGCTATATCTTATTACTATGACAGATCGAAAATAAAATTTTACTTGCCTAAGGTTATCTTTGATTTTCTATCAGCAGGTAGAACAAGTAAATCTCCAGATGTCCAATCAAGAGGTAAATTTTTGAATTCCGTTTTTTTTTCAAATACACAATTAGCACATTGCTGTAAGTAATATTTTAAAATGATTTTTTTAAATTAATTAATTTTAGCTTTCAAGAAATTAATTATTAACTTGAAAGTTTTGAGTTACAAATAAGTATGTTAATTGATAAAAAATTTTACAATTAAAGACTGGTTGGGAGATGTGTAACAGTTTTTAAATTTTAAGTATCATGAAAACATCTAACATAGAATATTTTTTTAAGATTTTGTTTGACTACACTTATAAAATTTTTGCATTTACGTTCATCCTAAACTAAATTTCATATTCCAGGTTCAACTTATAGAAACATATAAAGTAATGTTTGGGGATTTACGGTTAATTATTGAAATGTATCAGAAATCAGATGTGAAAAGAGTCATGTTAAAGGATTAGAACCTGTAGGCAATCAATTATATCATTGAACCTAATCGCTAAACCACTGCACACTTGTGATTTATATATCAATAAAGTTTCTTCCAGGTTGCTAATGTAGCTGACGGATATATAGCGCAATTAGTATAACTTAATCTTTGACATTTAATTATTTATAAATCCATTGAATTTTCAATGTTATCTTTTGTCTTTAGCCATCTAAGTTTCTTTTTCCTTATTTTATAAATAACCTAGTGCTACAATAAAACTAGTGTAAAATTGCTTAGTATGGTCAATTGTCCTGGCTCAGAATCATCGTAATACGCAGTATACTATATAGATTTAACTTATTATAAATACTGATAAGAGTAATTATAATATTTTTATTTTATAACTGTAACAATTATTTTGTATTAAATAAACAATTTATTTCTATTTTTAGTACTCAAGTATTCAAAAATGTACTTTGAATACCTTTTCAACAATTTTTAAATACATATATTGAATATAAAAAATTTTTTTATAAAACTGCTATTTTATAACTTACTTTCCATAGTGAAATTAAAAATATTTTACGTTCTTGATAGTTAGTTGCTAACCATTTGTAAAGTTTATCAAGCATTAATTCTATTTCTAAACAATCCTAAAGAAATGTATGTTATATACAATCAGAAATACAGAACTACTTTAAAATTTAATACTTGAGAAGATGATTTTCCATCAACTACAATTAATTCATGAAGTGGCCACATTCTTTTTTTTTTTACTACATGTTTATCAAATTTTATCTAAAATAAAACAGATAAAAAATGTATATAAAATGGTATTTAAAATAAATAAACTAAAACTGTTTGTAAAAAAGCCATGTTACAATAAACATATAAGATATCTGAGAGTATAAAAAATGCATGAAATAAAAAATATATTTAGATTTCTGATTCAGTTGAATCTCGATTAACCATCTTTGATAGAAATGGGTTTTTATATTTTATCTTTTAAGAAGCAACATTTCCTATCTCACATTTTCATCAAAATTATTTTGGACCGAATTCTTATTTGTTATTATGCATGGCATAGTTAAGCAATCTCAGATTTAGAAAAGAGTCAATGAAAAAAAAAGCTAAACAAAAAATTGGGAACAAGATAAAATATGCTTTCAAACATAATTGAGTAAATAAAATAAGTATTAAAATCTATTAAGTAGTATTAATAGTCTTACTTGATGAATAAAAATATTTGAAGGTAAATCTTTAGTGTCAGTTAAACATAGATATCCAAATTTTTTCTTTTTGGAATCGTTGCTTATTCCAACAAAGGCCAAGAGTTTCTGATCACATTGATCAAATATTTCTTGTTGTAAAATTTGTCTAGGAGTAGCCATTTAGCCAAGTTTCATGTAAAATAGTTAATAAATAGAAATAAATATTATACATTTACATTTTTTTTTTTTATGTTTAAAGATTGTAATACATAATAAGAACTTTTAAATAACAATAATAAAAAGTAATTGGATTCTAAATCAAAACGACTTCAACGTAAAAAATCTATTAAAAAAAAAATTATTTAAAACTTCTGTTTTTAAGAAATTCGGTCGATGTATTCTATTCCTCCGTTAAAACCTTGTTAAAAATTATTAATGATAACAATATCATAAATATTTTGATAAAAAATAATTAAACCAAGGTGGATTTAAATGTCCGTCCATCTTGCCGAGATGAAAAATGTGAGTATTTTTCGTTCCAACAAAGATTTGTCTTGACATAGTTGTAAAACAAGTAATAATTTTGGGTAATAATAGCTTTGAAACAAGAAATTTGTGAAATAAAAGATAGTGCCGTCCGTATTGTGTTAAAAAAATTGAATAACTAAAAACACACGTTCGAAACGTTTATCAAACACTTGTTTCCAAAATATAAATCAAAAATGTTTATTTGGCGCTGTACATTTTTTATATGTTTAATAAAAATCAATGTACGTTTATTGAGTAACAAATGAATATAGGAACAAACGTCAAAACATTCCTTTGTGTGGTCACCTATAATGATGGTCCTTTAACCAAATCTGACGTCTTAAAAAATAATTAATGCAATTTTAGATAATTTTTTAGTTTTCGAGTCCAGAGATTTTAATATGAAAATGTTTTTAAAAAGTGAAGGGACTGCTAAATATACAAACAAAAAGTCAAAATATTATATAGAATCTTGTAATTCAGTGTTATTTGAATAAATAATTTATTCAAATAACACTGAATTATTACAATTATTGTAGCTTAAGTATAGTGAAGTATGGTAAATATAATCATTTGAGGTAATTGTTATTTCATTTTTTAGATAAATACACAAGTTTTTATTTCGAACTTACATTTAGTATAATAGAAACTCAAATAAAGAACAAAACTTTTCATTCTAAAATAAAGTTAACTAAATATTCTAGGAAAAAAAATTAATTTGTAATAACCCCATTACCCCCACTTTACCCTAAATAAAGCTAAAAGTTTCCCAATAATAAAAATGCTAATATATCAGGAGTTGAACAAATTTCTAAGTGTGTCAAATTCATTAATTTAACTAAACTTGTTATTTGTTAAGATTTTTTGCAATTCGTAATAGCTCATGAACGGCGGAAAAAAGTTTACAAAACAAAATTATTACAAATAAAGTTTTGTTAAAAAAACTATGTATAAGGATATTTGAAAAATTTATTTATTTTTTTACATTTTACCTGCATTACAGACTGATTAATTTATTTTTTAATTCTTATATGATTAAATGTCCATCCCTTGTCTTTTATAAAAGAACCAACTTTTTTTTTAATAGCAACAAATATATTTAATTAGTTTATATAATATAAAATGGTACAATTACGAAAATGACTTTTGAACTAATAGTTCCAGATGTTATGAATATTTTTATACCTTGATGAGAGCAGTAGCATAATAATAAAAATAACACACACCTTGCTTCGAATCAACATTTAAAAATTTAATACCTTTCGGTATATTGGTTCAACAGTAATTATTAACATGTCATATTCTCAGTTGGATGATTTTCTATTGAATTATCAACTTTAATATATATGCTACCATTATAAAATAATAAATTTGGTACCCTTATAAGAATAATGGGTGGACGTAAAAAGTATTAGATTACTCAAAAATTGACAGAGAAATAATATTAAACAAATTCAAACAATTTTTTTTTTTCAAAATTATTATATTAGAAGAAATTTAGTGGTCGGTAATAAATTAATTATTCTGTATTTGTATGGAAAAATAATTTCGTGTTATGTAATTTGAAAATCATTATTAAAAAATAAACTCCAAATCTAAAAATGGAATTGTATATATTTTCAATTTTTAAACGTTAACAAAATATTATTTTTAGAAATCACTCTCGACTAATATCTAACTACGTGATTTCTAATAAAAAGTTATAACTATTATCTAATAACTTTCTTTATTTTTTAAAAACTTAGAAGAATCCTGGACAAAGTGAATTAATTAAATTTAAAAGTAAAAAAGTACGAATTATTTTTACCAAAAATATTTTTAAGTAATAATATTGTAAAATCATCTCAATTTAAAATCTTATGAGCAGATCTGCATAATTTTTTTGAGAGGAGCTACAACAGAATTAGGAGGACTAAGCACCATTTAGTTTCCTTCAGATTGCGCCTATTTTTGTGAAATAAATATATTTTCTTTGATTTAAGTGTGAAAGTATTAAACGTTTTATGCGAAAAATAAAAAAAAATTGTTAAATAATTATTATTGATATAAATTAACGATAACAAATTAATTACTTTATTAAAAAAATTTTATTTTTCACATTAATAATTCACATTTAAATTTAATCTCGCATGTTTATCCTATAAAATAACTTTAATTGCACTTCGGTTTAAATAATTTTAATATATTTTATTACATTTTTAATAAATATATGATTTGTCTTTTTTGGTTGAATTGGGTTTGGTTTGCTGTTTTAATAATATTATCAACCTAAATACGATTGATTAAATATTTTTATTCAGCATATTACAAATATAATTAGGGTACTTCCTTTTATAAATTTATACGGTTTGAAAAAAATATATAATAGTTATCACGTTGTTAAACTTTTGAAAAATTTTAAATATTTTTGTTTCTACTTGTAGTAAAAATTACTCCTATTCTTCGTTTCTATGGTTAGGCGAGAATCGAAAATTGAAAAACAATATCAAGAAGTCAATTTTTTATGACAAATTGTTTAATTAATTGTCATTATACAAATTTTAACTATTATATTTTTGTTTGTGAAATAATTTATACAAAATATGTTTATTTTTAATTATTGAGTATTGTTTCTTAATTATAGTTTCAGTTAAAACTTTAAGAAATAATTTCTGTTATTTAAATTTTAAAATACTAATTTCAAAAGTAAATTTATTGAAAAAATGAGTATGTGTGCACTAATCAATGTATAGTACATTGACATTTACATGCATGTATAGTTTTTAAACATATAATTACTTCTTTACCTAGTTTAAAAAGAGTTATTGAAACACTTATCTCTAGTTTGCATATATTTATTCTTTATTGATATTTTCACTGTCCTTGGTTCTAGTCATGAGTCATAGACAATAGCAATTAGTAATAAATGTTTTTCATACTAGTTACGTGACTATAAAATACAAAATTTTTCAAATTTTAAATTGTAAAATTATGCATCCTATAAAATCTGATAAATAATAAATCATTTAATTAAAACCAAATATTCAGTGATTAAAAAAAAAATGTACAATAAGTTTTATCAAGAAAATATAACCAATATTTATACTTTTATTGTATTTATTATTTGTATTGAACATTACAAATATTTTGTGATTTATACACATTAATATATAACAAAAAAAGGTAATTTTAAAATTAAATACATTTTCCCATCCTCTACTATACATAAATAACAATTACAGTACTTAATCTAAACTAAAATATCCTGTGATAACAGGACGGATTTAGTTTTAAATGCAAACCTAGAAACATCTTTTTTACAGTTTATCCACAATTTCATACTTTGTACGTAAATCCAATGATTGAGCCCCTTTACGATTTGCTAATTTTCTTTCAGCAAGTTGTTTTCGTAACTCGGCTGCAGTCATATTTAAATTTAAGCGCTCACCTGTCTGATTAGGTGATACTGTTCCATTTTTGTCTACATTCTTTTCATCTATCTCATCTGGACAATGTTCAGGAGTTTCCAATACAATAATTGCATGTTGCATGGATTCATAGGTCACCTGCATGTTTTTATCTCTATAATATTGATCTGCTCTCTTATCCAACACCAATAACTCTGTTGTTTTACCTAATCCTTCACTTCCTTTCCGGATTCTTTCTACAACTTGTGAATGAGTTTCACCTTCTATGTTGTGTCCATCAACTTCTACTATTCTGTCACCTTCTCTAAGCCCAGCAGCTTCAGCTGGACTCCCTGAATCTACTTTACCAACATATTGACCAGGAACCTTGGAACTCGTACCATTGGCACCATTTACAGTTTTAGCTTTTTCTGCATGGAGATTAAAACCGTAACCGTCAAATGAATTGGGCCACGTACGCAGTTTACATAGTCGTATAGTAGGCTCGACATCGTTGTTGTCTTGTATTATGTCAGACATTGTAAATTTTTTCAGAATATTTTTCCTCTGAGGCCGACGGGCGATGGCCAACGCCTGGTAATAGTATATGCTATTGTGATAAGAACAAATAGTGCACCTACCTGCAACAGGTGTGGCCAACTTCACGTGTGATGCTATAATAAACCTTGTGGGGATACAATACCAGGTATGAGCACCTGTCATGATTTTAGTTGACAGTTGCTACCTTCACCTGTTGGAGGTCAGTTTATGGCGAATATGCTGCTAATATTTGTGCAGTGGCGGTATTAAGAATTAATAATTTACAATTAAACACCCATACTGTTACCAAGGCCCCAATTTCAATGACTTCTTCATAGTAGTTAATAAAATAATGTTATAGAAACAATTTTGTAAGATTAATATAATATTATATGCTATAATAATGTTAAAAATATTATAATAACATTATTAGAAAAAAAAAAATTATTTGAGTATTGTAGCCATTAGTATTTTATTTTATTTAAATATTAAAATTATACATTAAATTATATATAATTAAGTAAAAAAAACAGAATAAAATATTTTTTATGACCACTAAATTATAAAATAATAACAAATGTTTTCAACATTATTATAGTGTTTCGATATTGTTTCAATTAAGTGTTAAAGTAACGTTAGAGTAAATATAATAAAATTTCAAATACTCTCACACACACGTTATCTAATTGATATGACTATTTCAATAACCATTTTTGAACAATCACTAGATACTCATAAAAATACATGGATTTGCCATTTTATATAGTAATATATAGTACAAGGGTTTTTTTTTAAATTTATTTTAATACTTTATCATTTTCAGTATATCTCTTGAATTCAATTTCTTTATTATTAGAAAAATTAATTTGTATGTCATTAATTGAATGAACTACATCAGCCACAATAGTTTCACCCATTTTATTCCTTTTAATATAATTTCTGCTGAATAAATCAGCTACATACATTTCCTTTCCAGGCAGATATTTTACTTCTCTATTATATAACATGCACTTCAAACATAATCTCCTTAGTCGATTATTAGGGATTTTGTTTATTTCTTTAAACATTACTGAAACAAGGGGTTGATGATCAGTATATAAAATTACTCTCCTTCCATAAATTAATGAATGAAATTTTGTATATGCAAAGGAAATAGCAAGCATTTCTTTTTCTATTTGGGGAAACGATTTTTCACTTTCACTAACACCTCGATGCAAAATATATAGAATGTTTATTTTGAAAAATACAACAGCACAAAGCACCCTCGGAAGCATCACACTGCAATTATAAGTTTTGTAGATTATTAATATATTTAGTTAATACTGTTACATTACAAAGACTTTCTTTCAAATTACAAAATGCTTTTTCACATTCAACACTTAATTCCACAACACATTTTTTTTTTAAAGCTCTCTAATAGCTACTAGTTCAGATAAGTTTGGCAAAAATGCTCTTAAATAATTTATCATTCCTAAAAATGATTGAAGCTGTTTTTTATTTACAGGAGTTGTTAATTCTTGTATAGACTTAATTCTATCAGCATCAGGTTTCACACCTTCCTTGTCAAATATAAATCCCAAAAATTTGACTTTATTTGTAGCAAATTGCAATTTTTTTAATTAAATTTAATATTATACTCACGAGCTCTTTCTAATAATTTGCAAATAATTTTATCGTGTTCCTCCCTAAAACTAGGGAGGAACACGATAAATCTAGCATACCAAATGATATACCAAATGTATTATTATACATTAAATAAATACTAATTATTATACAACTAGACATATTGGAGAAATACAAATACTGGTACAGTAAATGTGTAATATCAATCTAGTTTTCATAAAAAATATTATATAAAACATAATTAGTTTAATTTACACTATACATTTTTTACTATGCATACAATAATATTTTAATAAATATTAAATAACAATAAAAATGTTTGTTCGCAAATATTCATTCTATTATATTTTTAACATAATATTGTTATTTTATTGTATAAAAAGTTTAAACATCAATTGCAAAAAATATTTTAACTAAAAAAAACAAAAGAAAAATAAACACTTTAACTATAGTAATGATAAATACGTTTGATATCTGGTTAAGTATGTTTTGCGAGTTCGCTTAACTGTCCACATTGATACATCAACGACAGATGAGGATGTATCATAAGAGGTCCATATTCTCCGTTCGCCTATAAATTAAAACTATTATAAAAATAATGTTACTCAATCTAATTAACTGCTAAAATATTGATTAGTACTTATAGGACTTGTCCAGTACAAGAATTATTTTGGTCACATAAAAATATAGAACTCTGGTTTAAGTAATGAAAACAAAAAAGTTAAGAACTTAGAATCATAAATTCCCCATCGTAGTTTAGGGTAAAATTATCTGTATGTAAAAACTCGATTTTTAAGAGATATAAAAATCACATTTATTTACTAACCATTATAAAGTTTTAACTCTTGTTTAATTTTTCATTTCACTTGTCACTAGTTCAAATATACAAGATTTATACATATAAAAGATCAGTTTTTAACACGCTTATATTAGTTTCACCTGTATGTTAGTAACTCTCCACGCGCCACGTGTTATTCACTGGCGTACGCAAGGAAGGGGGGTTTATGGGGTTGAAACCCACCAAAATTTATAAACTAAGCGACAGTTTTGGACCATAAACAATAAGTAATAACAATAAAAAAGATCATATCGTACATGTACAGAGTGTTCAGTAAGTCAGGAAACGGGTTTCTATTGTTCTCATTGTTTGTAACAATGAGAACAATAGATACCCGTTTCCTGACTTACTGAACACCCTGTATAATATATAAAGGATTACAAATACAGGTAGCTAATTGGTTTTTTTTGACGATATTCATAAAATTAGGTATATAGCCTTTATTATCAATGGTAATAAGACACATTGTTGTGAGTTTATAAACACACTAACTGACAATACAGAAATTATATCTATTGATAGTCATAATTGACAAAAAACACTCCGTGACTGTGACAGCGATATCATAAAAAACTAAAAAGTGAAAAATAAATATAGTTTAAAAAAACTGAAAAACACGCTTTTAAAGCATATCAAACTAAAAAGTTAAAAATAATTTTTTAATTCGATATGCTTTAAAAGCGTATTTTTCAATTTGTTTTAACTATATTTATTTGTTTATATGGCCCTTTATAAATTTCAGTGTTACTGGCCGTCATACGCATCAATCGCATTAAAGAGAGTTTTGGTTATTTTACTGTTTTTTTAACCCATCAGCGTTGAGTGTCGCCAAATGGTCCCACTAGTTCTGAGTTCAAAAATTTAAAACAAATTCATAAAAATTAAAAATTAAATTTAAAGTTTTATGAAAATTTCTTTGTACGTTGATGGGTTAAATATATTATACGAGGGATATTCAATAAATACCCGGACGATTATTTTTTTCCATTTAGTGACACTGTAAACATGTTAAAGTTGGTAGGTTGAAATGAACTTTTCAATACTAATCAATTGGTTTTTCCCATTCTAATTTAGATAAATAGTTCATTAGTAACGGTCATTTAAAAAGTGAAGTGAAAATTACCTGCATTAACAGAAAGTTTAATAGTGATAAGATATGCAATTCAATTTTCTTTTAAGCTGAAAAACGCCAAAATAAATGCAAGGTTCCACGTCGCGCATGCTAAATATGAGTTCTTGAACGAACGTAAAATCCATGTTATATCTCACCCACCCTACTAGTAGACTTCTACCTGTAACCCACAACAAAAATAGAGTTAAAAGGACGCAGATTTGAGCCAAAAGACGAGGCTATAGGAATTGTATGGACGATTTATATTTACTATCTAACTAAAATTATAATTGAAAAATTATTGAGCTAAGAAGGAGTGCATATAAAAAACAAAATCACCACAAAGGTGAGCTTAACTCT